GGTGCGCAGCGGTAGGCACCACATGTGCCAGTCCGTTGGGTGGTGTTGGGGTGCTGGTGTGAGGGGGGGGGGGGGGGGGGGGGGGGGGGGGGGGGGGGGGGGATAGCACAGCCTGTGAAATGTGGCAGTTTCATAAATTTTGATTTAACAGACTTCAGCTGACCTGGTTATCTATCTATATACATTATACATTCCTGGATATGTGTAAAATCCTATCTGCCATTCTATGCATATCTAAAATTATAACATATAAAATAAATATATTCCTGTTTCACACATGCATAACATATATAAACTATGGAAAATATGCATTTGTAAAATATATTACTGGCTTAACGCATATTCCACTTAAATTAACACTATTTTCCCCCATTAGTCCATTTAATCAGGGTTTTCTTGTACAAGTGCGTTTTCCTTGCCTTCCCCTCACGACTTCAAATTTAGCTCTTGATTTTTTTCAAAGACAAAATATCCAACAGCAGAATCTGAAATCAAAAAGGGAGAAGCTGGCTGGCCAAAAGATAACAGTAGAAATGAGAAGGTTTAAATATTGCCTGCTATTGCTCTTCCTCTTGCTGGACTTTAAGACAGTATCTGCAGTTTTCACTGAAGATTTAAACAGAATCTTGTTCTAATCCAATCAGAATCCAAATTGGCTTTACAACCATTTCTCTTCCATTTCAGATAACATAGTTGAGATAGAGATTCATATAAAGAATCTTCTGTCATATTAGTTAAATATCAGATTGCTGCAAGGGAAGGAAGGAAGGAAAGAATACACCTTCACACAAAGTACTACTATTTTCGGTGTCAAATCAGAATGATGATATCTCAACAGAGAATTACTTACTGGATAATGCAGCATTACCATGCGATTTAGCAAAGTTGAGAGGGCATAAAAGCAACCTGTGTTTAAGCCTGAAAGATATAGAAATATTGAATTTACATCATGCTCTGAATTTTGCTATATGTTGCAGCCTAAGGAATGACCTCTTGAACATAGAATTTGTATATTCAGATGAAAAAAAAATATTATTTGCCCCAAACAATCTTGTGAATTTATTCCAGTATTGTGATTTTGGCATTTAATGGAAGCTTGATACATACATATGGTTTGCATCATCACTTCCATAACACTGGTACTCAGCTTCAGGAATGTGTGCACATACAAACTTTCCAGTAATTGTGGACTTGTGTTTATGAAAAAAAACAGGAATAATAATATTCAAGCACATGAATGGAATGGTGATTAGAAGACATCAAATGGGATATGCAGGAATCATTATTTCATTAAAGAGAAAGAAAAATCCCAGAGTGGGAGAAAAAATAAAAACCAAACAAGAAGATAATGAATCAAAGATTGCAAAATGGACTTCAATGTTATTTCAGCCTATGTCTTACATGAAATGGTATGTATAACTACATAGATATTTATGCTCCGTGTACGCTGAACACCTCAAATTCAGTTGCATTTTCATTGCAGCAAAAACATTTCATGTTCATACATTTTACTGATAAGACTAAGTTGAACTTTCAAACACAGAGATGAATCCAAAGAACTCACCTCACCCAAGTCATGTTCTCATCCTACGCTAAATAAATAAATAACCTCACCCAAGTTAACACAGCAGGGTCAAAAAGCAGATGCTAGTCACTGACCTCATCTGTTATCTGATTCCATGTGCCTTAACTAAGCACAATTTAAACTAATGTTGGACTAAAGCTTCTGTAGGCCCTAATTTGTTCTGCAAATATCTATTGTCCACCAATAGACCCATTTTGTATATGTGGAAAAAGGAGTGACATGATGGTTGAGCATATCAGCCCTGGAAAATATCCTATAGTTATGCTCAAATTTATGGCAGATATTATGTGACTTTCATGCAATGCAACTCAATTTTTAAAGTGGGGACTGTTTTTTGCTTGTTAGTATTTGTTATTGTTATTCTTTCAAGGCAATGGTATTAGGAAAATGAAGGCATGGGCAAAACAGCAGCCAAGGAAAAGAAGAAGAGAGATTTGGGCTATTGATGTACACATATTTACCTAACAATAAATTGTTTAAGTAAGCAAAAGGTTATGCTGAGAGACTATGATCCAATGCATAATTTCCTGAGAGTAAAGCCTTTTGAATTCAATCTTTGTCTCTCAGCAAGGTAGAAAAATGTAGGCAACCTTTCAGAAGGGCAACAGGAACACTTTACTTTGTTTGTACCCACATACAAATGGCATCCTTTTCAAAATAAGATTCAATATTCAAAATGAAGAGCTGATACTTTTTATACAAGGGAAGAAAACTGACCAAGTATAAATAATTCCAAACATAATGTCAGCATTGTAGATCTCTTCTGTTCCTGAATTCCCATTTATTGAATCACTGATTTCAAAGAAACAATAATAATGGAAGAAAAAGAAAGGTAGAGTGAATACAGCTAAATTCACTCAGAATGTTATCCATAACCTTGTTTCTCTGTTTTTGGCTTAACAAATTGTGCAAGTAAACCATGAGCATGTTATATGAATTCAGAAACAACTGCAGTTCACACAGCAAAAATTTGCAACTTCAAATGCTGTGTGAAGGAGATCAAAGGACACAATGAGAAAGGTACAGTATTGCCCTGAGGCCCTTTGGAATTCTGAAAGGCCCTGGATATTTGAAGTTTCAATAGAAGAATATATGTATAGCCCATGGGGGAATTGTGGAGTCCTTGGAACTCTCTGAGCTTGATTGTTCGCTTACAGGCATTTTATTAACCAAAAAGGTAACATCAGTGCAGAATATAAAGTTGTCAGTAAGGGTGGAAAATGTGGAGCTTTCAATTCTGGGTAGAGTTAGATTCCCAGTAGATGTCAAGACAACTGAAATCTTCCATTTATCACCCCAGTATGCCTGTCTGGGAGACAGATCCTGATGCAGAAAAACCTCCTCCGTATCTTCTCCCTTTCAATCTATAATAAATTCACATGATGGAATCATGTGTTTCTTTCTCTTTTTCTTCTTACCCAAACACTTCCAACATGATTTCCATCCTCCAATTCCTAAATTTCTGCAAGTTTCTTTTACATACAGCCAACATCCTACCCTTGTCCTGAATTTGTTCCTTTTTAAATAAACTGTAGTCTTCCAGTTTTATATGCTGATCATGAATATCATTCCCAAAAATCCAGTGATGCTCAGAAAGTAATATTTGTCTTCCTGAATTATGAATACTAGTTCTCTCATTTGTTATGACAGATTAGGAATACTATTTATGAATATGAGTTCTCTCCCATTTGTCTCTCATACTTTGTGTATTGGTATACGGTATTAAGTGTATCACCTCCTGGTCTATTATATTTTTCCAAATCTCGAAGTCCCTACCCTGCTATTCTGCTTCTCCTTTTATGTTCTGCTTTCTTGACCCCAGTCCTTGGCTTCATATTTGGTTCTGGGTTTTTGCCACCCTATTTCTTTTGTTGTAGTTTAATGGTCTCCTGATGAGACTAGCAAAGTGTCTGGCAAACATTTTCTTCCTAGTCTTTATAAGATATAGCCTATATCTTTTCAGAAATCCTTCATGAAGATAGCTAATGCATTGTCATACAATCCAAGTCATTTTCAGCAATGCTATCTATAGAGGCAAATGCTAACTCCTGGAATCCTATTTTATCTTCCACTGTGGCCTTCAATTAGAATTGATAAGTTACATTATTCTCATATTTTCATTAGCCAAGGCCTCATCATCTCTGAAAATCTTTTAAAGGTCTCATCTGACTGTGCCATCTGTCTCACATAAATCAAGAACGAAAGGATACAATGTCAGTGGCTGGAATATTTTTGGTAATTTCTCTGTCACATCCACAATACAGAGTTTCTCTCAGCACAGAGCTACCTACCAAGCAACTCATGGGTTCTTCAGTCTATTATGGTCCAAATGTTATTCCACTATGTTCTATATCAAGTTTTGTTCAGATGATTATGGATCAGGCTCTAGAGCAGGCCTGTTAAACTGGCGGCCTGAGGGCCAGATATGTCATGTGCAGGTCATGCCCAACCTGGCTTCACAAAGGCAAAAAATGATGCGATATATCACAATCTGGGCCATGATGTGATTAAGTTTGACACCCATGCTCTAGAGCAGGGGTGTCAAATTCACGGCACACAAGTCAGATGTGTCACGTGCTGGCCCCGCCTCCACTTGGTTTAGCGAAGGGGGAGAAAGTCCTGATATGTCACGTGACACCACCATGATGACGTGAGTTTGACATTCCTGCCCTAGAGGTACCAGTTAGGAATCCTTGTGCTCTCTGAGCTTGGTTGCTTTGTTGTAGACGTTTTATTATCCACACTAGGTAACATCATCTGTGTAGTAAGGAATGGAGTTTGTTCTCAATTTATATTCTAGTAGCTTGCTCTGTCAGTGTTGGCAAGTTCTTTGGTTAGGCTGTTGGCTTGTTTGGTAGTTTCTTGATTGGGGCATTGTTTACTTATTGTGGGTTGGATGTTAACCTTGGAGTTAATCTTTGCTAATCTAGATGCTGCAGTGAGTTTGTGCTCATCTAAATAAAATTCTTACGCTGCTTCTCTTGTGGGAGGTTTGGTTTCTACTTTGGTAGTGGAACACTTGGTTGGTGTGGGTGGTATTTCTGTACAATTATGTTTCCAGTTTGCATTGTGGTTTCTGTTGATTAAGAAACCACAATGCCCAAGAAAGGTAGTGAATTGTTGTTTTCTTCTTCTCTGGTAAACTGGATTCCTTTTAAAATGTTATTGTTTTGTGGGTGTTCTCTAATTGGTCCTTTTTTATTATGTGAAGGTGTCATCTGTGTATCTGATCCATATTTTGGGTTGTATTTGTCGAAGTACCATGGCTTCTAAACATTGCATAATGACCTCCACTATAAATCCTGAAGGCAGTGGTCCCATAGAGACCACTTTAATTTGTTGGTAAGTTTGTCCATCAAATTGGAAGTATGTGGTTAGGCATACTTATGAGATCCATAATCCTGGGTGTTTCAATACCCACACTGACAGAGCAAGCCATTAGAATATAAACTGAAAGTAAACCCCATTCTTTATGATGTTACCTAGTTTGGGTAATGAAACATCTGCAAAAAAAAAAAAAAAAAAGCTCACAGAGACTCAAGGACCCCTCATTTCAACTGTGAGCTATACATATTCTCCTTTATTGATACCAGTCTTGAACATTTTTAGCACTGAATGCAACCTGATATTTATATTTCTTGCTCCCACAAGTTTGCCTCTTTGAAAGGGAGTTTTTCTGGTTCTAGATGTTCTCTTTGTTTATGTACTCTCCTGGAATTTAGGGTGCCCTGCCAAAAATCATCTCTTTTCCTAGCACTGTAATGTAGAAATTCTTTATTCACCTCCCACTTTCTTTTCCAATCAGAAGCTTATGTAGTTTGGGTCATCAAACAACCACTGAATACCACAATCACCGTGCAGATCACAATATTTCTCTCACTGACCATCTTATTTAAAACTTCCCCCAACCAAATTCCCCAGCCAAACTCCTGTGCAAATTTCTAATAACTTCCTGCTTGTAAACTCCCAGAAACTGCCTCTGGGAGAGGATTGGCTGAGACTGGAAGAATTATAGAATTAAAGAATTATTATAAGGGCAAAAGAGCATCTAATCCAGAATAAAGCAGAATAAAGTTTGAATGTGCTGTGATAAAATTCTTGTTCTAGCAATTGTCTCATAGGGTTGGCTGATGTTCAGTTTGTTATCAATGATCTCAAGTAAATCCTTCTCAGTTGTTACAATTCCAAGTCAAGAATCCCATTTTATATATGTAGCCTACATTTTTCCTTCCTACATAGCAATAGCACTAGCACTTAGACTTATATACCGCTTTATGGTGTTTTACAGCCCTCTCTAAGTGGTTTACAGAGTCAGCATATTTCCCCCAACAATTTGGGTCCTAATTTTACCCATCTCGGAAGGATAGAAGGCTGAGTCAACCTTGAGCCTGGTGGGATTTGAACTGCCAAATTGTAGGTAGCTGGCTGTAGAAGTAGCTTGCAGTACTGCACTCTAACCACTGCGCCAGAGGTCATATACATGTAATATCTTCCATTTTTTCCTCTTCAAGGACACCTCATTCCTCTCAAACCAATCTTCCAACTTGTCCAGATTAGTTTGCAATGTTGTTCTGTTTTCCTGGGTGTTAGCCGTTTCTCCCAATTTTGAATCAACTCCACATTTCTTAATTATAACCTTTATTACATGTTTTTTCATGTTCTTTTCTGTTTTGGTTCAGTATTAATTCAGCATTAGCACTTTAGCAGCCTATTTTTTACTTACAAATAAAGTAAAAAGTTTTCTTTGTCTGTGAGAAAATATTTCTGTGAATCTGATAGACTTTTCCCAGGTTACTGCCCTTACATCTAAGGATTTACTTAAAACTAAGTATCATTCCTAATGTTTTGTTGTGTTTCATTTTTCATATAATCAGAAAGAAACAAATGTGTTAACAGAAATACAGCTCAAGCATCCCCAAGGCGTGGTACAATATATTAGATTCCTAAAGAGAACTCCCAAGAAGCCTTTAAAACTGCTCACAATTCAGATTTATTATCTAACCTTTACCAGTGAATTAATGACCATGGCTACAGCAATTGTTTCCAAATCTTTATACCAGAAATCATGATCAATCCTCATCTGTTATTCTATAAAAATATAGCTTACTCTTTATGCCAAATAAAATAATGGTATCATCTCATTGAGCTAGTTTGGTGTAATGGTTAAAACATTAGGCTAGAAACTGGGAGATCATGAGTTCTAGTCCTACCTTGGGCACAAAGGTGATTTTGAGCCAGTTACTCTTCGTCAGTCCTAGAGGTAAACTACTTTCAAAGTCTTGCCTGTGAGTACATTGCCAACAGAACTGAAGGGACCAGTCCAGACAGGTAACAGGAATCAAAACTCACTGGAAGGCATTAAAAATATCCAAATAACTGTCTCAAAAATTGCATCTGCATAACCAGTTTAATACTGTATGCCCTCAATGGAGAGCCAGTTTGGTATAGTAGTTAAAGCATCAGATACTGGGATATTGTGAGTTCTAGTCTAGCTGAGTGACTTTGGGCTTGTCTATCAGCCTAGGAAAGGAGGCAATGGCAAACCATTTCTGATTAATCTTGCCAAGAAAGCAGCAGGGACTTGACATAGGAGTCAATGCAGTTTTAAAGGTGCATGTGAGAACACATAGACAGTCAACATTTGACTGTGATGCTGCTCAGTATGGGGAATAAATTTTTTTTTTCAAAGGCTCAGTGGAATGGACTGCTCTTTTGGCAATGTTCATGAGGGATCTGAATTTTGAAGAATTATTCATTGTCAATAGGGTTATTGCGTGAAAACACAATTCAGCTTTTTCAATTTCCCTTTAAAAGCTGCAAAACTGAGAAGTGTAGAACTTCAAGAAGGCAATAAAGATGTAGGAATTATTCAAAGTTTACTGCAGGCAAAGGGTGGAAAGGACCAAGTTCAGATGACATGACAGGAAGTTTTTAATATTGTTATATGTACTTGAAAAGCCTCTGGTATTCAGTCTCTTTGATCAAACAACAGAATGATAAGGCAAGCAGAGAGCTGACAGTACACATTCCTAGAAGCCATCTTATACAGTGAGACAACCAAAAGATTTGCCCTTTGCACTGTTTCTCTCTTTTTTAAAAACAAAACTGAGAGGGAGAAAAAACATTGAGGCAAATGACCCAGAGAAATGAGCAGAAATTGGGGACTTATAACATCCTTTGCCATTCTTTGTGCTGATAGAGCCTATAAATATGCTTTTTATATTTTCAGGACTAATAGGGAACAACATTCTCTTTGTTTCTAGATATTAAATAGAACCTTAACACTAACAAATGTGTTCAGTCTACTATCATCAGCTTCAGATCCCAAAGGTGCTTCTTTCAAGAGGCAAGTGGACTTTCTGGTTTTTCTTTGAAAACATTTCAGTTCTCATCCAGGAAGCTTCTTCAGCTCTGAAGAAGTTGAAGCTTCCTGGATGAGAAATGAAACATCTTCAAAGAAAAACCGGAAAGTCCACTTGCCTCTTGAAAAAGCACCATTGGAACAACCATGACCTGGATGACTGAGAATCTCCATAGACAAGACATCAAGCTTGAGATTTACTCTGAATTGCAGACTTTGTTACTGAAGGATCTGGCCTGAATTTTGGATTTTGGTGCTCTTTACTGGTCCTCTGCTGTTGTTGGTTTGAACATCTTAGTTGTTGAAGACTTCTGGAGAACTTGAAAGCTTTCATATTGCTTTGGATCATTATGATATTAAAATATAGATTTTGCTATATAACAGTGTCAATTACACGAAGCAATAATCATAACTACAAGTATCAATATATGCAGAAATATGCAGAAACCCAACTGCCAACAGTTATCAAAATTGGAGTTAGCATATTCAATTTGCAAAAATTCGGATTACTAGATGGGAACATTAAGTTAAAAGAAATACCCATTCACTTCCTACTCACTATCAGACAAGCGTCACTATCAGACAAATCCAATATACTGACTGCAGCTTTATGCGCTTAGATGTATCAAATATCAAATCTGTTGCAATTTTGAATGCCACATACTCATCTTATTCCTGAATTTCCTGTTTTCAGACCAAATATCAGTAGAAACAATCTAAATGATAAGGAAACAGAAAAAAACTTTCCTAGGGACATAACTAGGAATTCTGGGACAAACATCCTTCCATTATCATGATTGGAAAGCTGTCAAACATCCTAAAGCATTCTAGATGGCAAACAGGATTTGGTTTTGTTCTCACAGTTGCTATTTTAAAATAGAGAGCTATAAAACTTTCTACAGATTTAACAGTAAAAGATGTTTTAAACTTTATGATCATAAAACGATATAACAAGCAAAAGATAAGAAAACAAGGATTAGCATTGATTGTATTTTCCTTTCCTCTCAGTAAAAAGGAATAATGATTTTAAAAATGATTTTTAAAAAGGAGCAGCAATGGGAAGAATAACATTTTTAAGTGATAAAGAATGGGGAAAAAACCAAAAGTACACAGTGGAGAGAGATCAGAAATAGAAAGAATAGAAAGAGCCAATAATTAAGTCTAAAGACAAAGAAACAAGATGAGTTGAAAGAAGATATTTAACAACTATTAATATAAATGAAGAAGAGTAGGAAATTGTTGAAAGGAATCAGAAGCAAGTAAAATGACATATAAATATCACTCATTTTAATAAACAAAATAAGCCACCAGAATACATCCAAATCAGTATACTTAGTGCATTTTATCTATACAATAAAATTTCTCCCTTTCCAAACTGAAATGAAATACAATATAAACACTCATTTGGATGTAACTTAGGTTTTTTTTAATGAAGGAGTAGTTCCAGAGGTGGTATTCAGCCAGTTCTGACCCGTTCTAGAGAACCAGTAGTGGAAATTTTGAGTAGTTCAGAGAACCAGCAAATACCACCTCTGACTGGCCCCGCCCCCATCTATTCTCTGCCTCCCAAATCCAAGCTGATTGGCTGGGTCTTCTTTGGTTGCCCTGCACAGGAGAACAGAGCTGGAAAGCAGGTTAGTGGGGTGGGGAGGGAATGGGATTTTGCAGTAACCTTCCCCCAGGAGTGGGGAAGGAATGGTGATTTTACATTATCCTTCCTGTCATGTCCACCAAGCCACGCCCACCAAGCCAAACAATGCCCACCAAGCCAAGCCCACAGAACCGGTAGTAAAAAAAAATTGAATCCCATCACTGAGTAGTTCCCATGTGCAGTTGTGAAAATGTGATGTTATTGTACATGAATATTTAAAGCTAAAGTAATACTATTTAACTGCATCTGTGAACATTGAAAAGCTATCTGAAAAAATGACTTAATAAAGACAACTGCTCTCCCACAGAGGAAGGAGAAGAAAAAAGCTAAATACCTGATCATATTTGAGGAACTGAATTGTCTCCTCTTCAAATTAACAAATTAAGAGTAGATCGCCTTGGTAAAATTGATGCTTTGATATGCAAGTGTTTAGAGTAATTTTCATATAATTATATCTTTAACTTCTTTTGAGAACAAATACATTTGTTTAAGGAACTTCCTATCTGGGAACTGTTTAACCTCTTATTTGTAAACTAAGATGCTGGCAGGTAGATGAAATAACACAAACATGAAAAAAGTGGAACATTATATGATTCTTCCAGTCAAGAGATCTTACCATAAGTGACTATCAACAGCACAAAGTTAACATTAGAAAATAAGCGGACTATGGATTTCAGATAGGAATATTTATCTGGAGCTTCTGCCTGAATCACAGCCTGGGCTGGACTTGGAGGATATGGAGGCTTTTCTTGAAACACTAAAGAAAAAAAAAGGAAGAACCAGAAATGAGTAACTGCGGATTAAAATAAATTAAAATAAAAGGCAACTGAAAATAAAGTATAAGCACTCAACCATTTTAACTCAAGATCATGGTTGTCCCAAAGGTGCTTTTTCACGAGGCAACTGGACTTTCTGGATTTTTTTGGGGAAGACATTTTGCTTCTCATCCAAGAAGCTTCTTCAGCTCTGACAGGATAGTTGAGAATGGAAGGAATTACATTCCTTGCAAACTGCTGGTCATTTGCATCCTTTTAGAGGGTCGTTGAAGCACTTGGAAGTTTATCTGTGTCCTCAAGGTACTCACCACTACTCAGGAAAGCCCAGCTGCCTCCTGAAAAAGCACCTTTGGGATTGGCATACTATAGTACAGTATTTAGCAGCCCACAGTTTAGACTCAAGAGATTGACTGTTTCCAAAAAAGAAAAAAAATCTGGTCCTCATTCTTCTCCACCAGATTTTTGTTCTATTGGGCATCTGTTGTGTTCATGTGCCCATTCTGAAGTCAATCCTTTGTACAATTTGGCACTTAATGAAGACTTTTTAAAGGCATCATTGTCCTTCCCAACAATCACTCTAACTCTCTTATCTCATTTCTGGTTTCTCTCAAGATATGTATAACTCCCAGTCTGGAACTGATACTCCAGTAATTCAGCACCCACTTTAGCTGCTCCCTATACCCAATCTTCAACTACATTTATTTATTTTTACTTACCAAAGACAACTAAGATGAAAAGTGCTGTTGCCACAGCCGCTGTGATAAAAAACATGATGCCAATATAGTAAGCCAGCTCCTCCTTCTTTTTCAAATCGGGAACCAGAACAGGGGGGAGGAGGAAACCAGCTGCAATGCCAAGCTAAACAAAAATAAATAAATAAATACAAATAATATATCACTTCTTAAATATGCAAGTGCCTTAATAGAATACCTAACAGGTTTTCAAATGATATTGCGTAATATTTTAACAACAGTTGTAGGAAAATTTCATTGTGATATTCCCCCTAATCTTTCTAATAATAACATCAATACATTTTGTATAATTTTGAATTTTACTAGTATCACTGTATTTATGGAAACTTATATTTATATCCAGGGGTGGGATCTGACAGGGTTAATTACCGGTTCGGTGATTTACGATGTGCTTCCCTGCACACTGCTTGTGTGTGTAAATCTTCGTCAGCTTGCTGCCTGGACAGCTGAGCAGCGCTGAGTGCAGGGAAGCAGCGTTTGAAAAAGCACTTTTTTCCTGCTTTTTCAATCACATCTGTGCCTTGCATGGCAGCTGAGATTGAAAAAGCAGGAAATAAAGGTCAGGTAAGAGCCCAGGTGGGCAGGTGGGCCAAAACAGCAGCAGACATAGAACCGGTTCTATGTCTGCTGCTCTTCAGAGCTACCAGTTCTACAGAGCTGGACAGAACTGGTAGAATCCCACCCCTGTTTATATCTTTACTAGCTCGATACCTGTGCTTCATTACGAAACTATGTGGTCTGGCTTAGTTTTGGGGGAGGAAAATAAGGGGGGGAAATTCTGCCTCTCCCTACCAGCATCCATCGGTATTCATCTGGCTAGCGTCCTGTCAGTGTGTGAGAGAGTTGTGGGCTGTTTGGAAACTGAAGCAGTATTCACAGTATGAGCAAGAAGGAGACAGCAAGGAGCCTGGGCGTGGCTTAGCTCAACTGTTCTGTACTGAAGCTGGTTGCTGCTGTGAAACTAAAACTGAAACTCCTTTCCTCTGCTTGTGTTTTGCATTTGGAACACATTTCTTTTCAGGTGGGGAAGGGAAGTAGAACTCCTTAGCATCAGAGCATATTAATAATAATATACAAAATACTGATGGTCATTTCGAAAAATCCTTTCTTAGCGAGCACTTAGAAGCCAAGAAGAACACACATCCCAAATTTCAAATTTGTAGGTTTTACAGTTCTGGAGATTCATGATGATGCGTGAGTGATTTCACTTTTATATATATAGATTATAAATGCCTAAAAGATAAAGATCTTAAATCTATTAACAATTTTAAGAAGTGTGTGTGTGTGTGTGTGTGTGTGTCCATATATATAAAACTTCCTTCAATATATCACTGCATAGTTCTACAAGACCAGAAATAAGGATTAAAATACTGTAACCTCACAAAATGTTGAAACTTTAGCAGGAATTACAAAGGTACAAAAACTTTACAAAGCAATGTTTGTATATGCCAATTCTAAGTGAACACATATTTGGCATTTGGGAATGACATCAATAAAAGAAAGCCCTCAGGGACTGCCAGTTCATCTGCTATTGGAGTGGATGTTATTGAATAGAATAGAGTAATGTAGAGTAGAAACAAAAGAGATTATGTGTTTTCTTTCTGCTCCCTGGTAAAATTGTTTAAAGGAAAACAGAACAAAATTAAGAGGACATGCCTCATTAGGTAAATTCTTCAAAGGATTAAAAAAAATTACAATATGCAGCATTTTTTCTATAGGAGGAACAAGAGAGCTATCCATAGTTTTCTGAGTGCCTGGAATTCCATGTCAAATCCCTCACCCTTTCCCCATTACAGCTGTATCGTAATCAAAACATGTGCTCATTATCTTTCTCTCTCAAGTATGTTCCGCAATACGAGAAAAGGGCAAATTTTTATCTGTCCCACTACAAGGTCTGTCTTTATAGAGCTTCCTTGTTATCTTAAGATGAAATGGTAGTTTCAATAGTGGCAGTTTCATTTGCAGCCAATCAAAAAGTTTCTCCCTTGGGTCCATTGCTTTTATTACTGACAATCACCTAGCTTGAAGGCAATAGAAAACTGAAACCAGCCACAGTATAGAATATCGTCACATCTCAGAATGTGGCTCCAAAATAACCATAAATTCCCAACATGCTATAACTATCATCATCATCTTTGTTAAGATTTGATATAATCATCCATTTCAGGCTGGCTGAACTCAGAAAGCTTTTAGACTCATGATAGCAAACCTATGGCATGCATGCCACAGGTGGCATGCACAGCCATTTGCGCAAGCAGCAGGCAAACTGTAATACTGGAAGTGACGAAACAGGCCTATTATTCGGCCTGCAAAGCTTGCAGAGATTTTTTTCAAGCCTCTGAGAGGCTGAAAAAGGCCTCAAACCGGCCGAAAATCAGCTGTGAGGCACAGTGCAGGTAAGGGGGTGGCAAGGGGAGGGGGAGATTGCGTACGCATGCGCAGGGTGTGTGGAAGGGGCGTGCGCATTGCCTTCTGGGTGCTGGCACATGAGCGCATGAGTGTAAGCGCATGCACAGTTTTTGGCACAGGAGCCCAAAAGGGTTAGCCACCACTGTTTTAGACCAACGAATTCAAACACATGTTTAGAAAATGAAGTTTAAATTTATAATGGGACTTGATTATAACCTTTAAAAAAATGTGCCTTTACATGTTCCTGTTTTTCTTTTTCCCAAAAATCCTTGAAAAACTGTTCTGGGGGTTATCTCATTCTAAAGGTTGAGTCCTAGTGACTTCATGGATATGGAATAAGTCGGGTTTTTGTCAATAATATGGAGTTTGTAGTTTGCTCCCTGGATATTTCTAAGTCTGACTTACAGTCCGGGTATTTCCTAACTTGTCCCGCCCAAATATTAATCAGGACTGACTAAACTAACTTTCTGATTCAAGATAAGGTCTATCAGGTGCTGCCAGCTACTGAAGCTCTATATCAGGGGTCCCCAACCCCCAATCCATGGACCAACCACCGGTCCACAGCATGCCAGCCATCAGTCCACGCAAACAAGTGAAACCCATCTGTGGGATGCAGGCAGCACACAAAAACCTGCCCCTCCAGTCTGTGAAAAAAACCTTTCTCCACAGAACAGATCCATGGTACCCAAAAGGTTGGGGGCCACTGCTCTATAAGAGCAATCTGCATAGACTTTATTACAATCTATAAAACAATTCTTAAACCTACATTTTTAATAAAAACTACAATTCCATAAATTCTGTAATTGAAAAGCAGGGAGAATTGCATGAACTCTTTCAGGGCTGATATAGTTAACAAAAGCAAGAACTGTGTGAAAATAGATAAATAAACAACCGACAATCCTTATAACTACAGTATATATACATATACAGTCAGGAACTAGTGCTGATCAGATAAATAGGTTTAATTCTTTATTAGAAACAATCATATACTGAAGCATTTTATTTTAGATCCATTTGGATTTTTTTCCAACAACAGATTTCTGGCAAAGGAAACTGGAAAGACAGTCTTCAACAGGCTATCATGGTCTCCAAACATTTGAGACTAGTATCCAAACTGCCTGATAATGAATTACTCATATTCTGAACAAAGCAAAATCAAAGCTGTTTCCACAGGTTGCACTTTACATATGGAATCAGAATGCCTGTTCTTTTGATTTTCTGTGGTAAGTTTGTTCGTAATTGTCCCAAGCTGTTTCACAACAGCAGACCAAAACAAAATTGTAGGTCAGCAAGCTAAAACACACAGTACCTTTTAGAAACATATGAGGAAAGAGTAATGTGAAAAGTATTCACAGATACCAAGTTACTCCCATCTTCTGGCTTTGGAAGACAAATTCAAATTCTGAAATGAACTTTGTGTCACATCTAACTTTTTGGAAACAAACTTTTCTCCATGGTAAAACTAAGAATACCAACTAAGCCTACAAATCATTAACTCTCACAATGTTTGTTGGAGGTCTTCATTTGCCAGATACTGCCCTAGAATCCTTCTTTATTATCCCATATCCTGAAGCTCATCAGAGTAATGGCTTTTTGCATAGTCAGCCAGATGTTTATACTGGATTTGGCATTATTAATCCCCCCATCAAGTCCTTCCCAAGGACTTGGTATAGGCAGATGTGGGTGTTTGATGGTCTTACATTATTATTTTATATTAATTTTATGTCACCTATCTCACCATGGGGCTATTCTAGGTAGCTCACAACAATAACAATGGAAATGAAAAGATGTGTAAATGTAAGCGTACAAACATAATGGAACAATAGAATAAACAATGAAAAAGAAACAATGAGCAAAAACAATAGGATAAAAGATGGGTGAATGAGGAAGCAGGGAACGAGAAGAGAGGTGGGGTTTGTTATCAATATAGTATGCACCATCAGTGTGGTTCTAAACCCCACTAGTCCCCAGCCAACCAGCAGAGCTAGGTCTTCAAGCTCTAACAGAAGGATAGGAAGATGGACACAGATATCACCTTGGAGGATAGGATGATCCAAACGAAAGATACTACAGAAGAGAACGCTGTTCTGGATCCCAATAATCAGAGTTTAATGACTGACGGGATTCACAATAGGCCCCTCAAGAGTATATATACAAGTGTATGTATACACACACACACACACACACACACACACACATACACATATATATACATATATATACATATATACATATATATGAGAGAGAGAGATATTAAAACATACATCTCATGCAAGACATACCTAAGATATATTGTACAAGAAAAGGCTAATTTCAATATATTGTCTATACTGCAATCCTTTTCAATGCGAAAAGGAAACTGCAAACACATTCACTTTTCACTGCTTAATACATTCACTTTTCAAAAGATTCCTGTACGTAGCAGGTAGCTACATCAAGTGTCTCAGCAAATGTAACCAGGGAAAGAAATTTGGTAATGCATTGATATATTTGTTCTGCTTCAGACTAAGTCTGAAGGATAGGAGGATGGACACAGATATCACCTTGGAGGATAGTATGATCCAAACGAAAGTTACTACAGAAGAGAAGGCTGTTCTGTAATGATCTTTAAGGGTAATAATGCAATGTTACCCATTCTGTCTGTAGGCCTCTTCCTGTTTGCACACTCAAAATGGGAAGTTATAAGGACACACAAAA